GTTGTGCCAATGGTGTCAAGCGGCCCTCGTGCTCATCGCACACTTGCCTGTCAAGCAGCCTCCGAAGCTGATTGCAGGTCCGGGACGGAGTTAGCCATGGCAAGCTCTCCCTTATCTTCCGGAAAACGGAGCAGCGCTTCCACGATGACCCACCTACCCGTACCCGTCCAAGCCGACCTTCACATTTTCACTTTCAGCTTAGCATTGTAGGTGTGAATTGTAAGGCTTCACTGTTCTTGGCTTCCCGTTTCAGTCTCACCCTTCTCAGCACCGGATCTCGCTCAAAGAGACGTCGCGGAGTTCGTCGTGGTATGCGAACTCTCCACATTCAGATTGGTGATGCCAACGGATCGCTGCGTGAAACGGCACACCCTTGCCTCCAACGGCGCTTATCGCAAAATAGGGGAAATTGATTTGCGCAGAGGGTGGGCAGATTGAATTCCGGGCCCAAGGTAGGGTCGCAGGGTCACGTGCTAGTTGGCCCGAAGGTCAACGCTTTGGCTACTTGTAAAATCGATGCCTGTGACTCCTTGCCAGGGCAAAGGGCTGAGCGGCCGATACAGTTCTCACAAAAACGAAAGGAGTTCACACAAGACAAACCTGGCACCGGTGAGCACACAACCAAAGACGGCCAACTTCATCACGAGCCTTGAGAAGCTACGCCCGCAAGCCTTCTCTGGCGGAGCTTCCTGTGGAGTGATCTCCTGATTCACCGCTGTCCTGTCCGTTTGGCCCCGCCCATGGCAGACCCTCTGCTGCCGGAGCTGTTCCGGGTGTCACCTGTTGAAGTGCCTTGAGGTACTTCATGCACTCCTTGTCAAAGGCCCACTCAGGCAGGTGGTTGCTTGCCTCTTTTTGAGAGAAAACCCTGAATCGCTCCAGGTGAATGGCGGCTTCCCCCTTGACAGCTTGCAGTCTATCGTGGCCCTGGAGGGACCCAGCCCTTTGCGAGAGAGGAAGGCCCCTGCGAGAGGGGTGGTTTACCGGCCAACGTGCCGAGTGGAGCTAGGCTTGCCTCACCATAGCCAGTTCGAGGCCCGTCAAAAAATGTGAGGTGCGGGTACGCATATATATATATACACATTATGTATCAAGGCGCATGTCAAATACATCGAGCCGACAAACTCCACAAACCTAACAAAAAATTTAGGGGATCCTTGAGTTTGTCTTGCGAAGCAAGTGTTGGGACGTCCGGGTCTAATAATTGATCGCTCAATTCAGACCCCCCCCTCCCCGAATTGATTTTTCAATACAGACCCCCCCCCCCCCCCCTTTGAATTTTTTTTTCAAAACACCCCCCCCCCTCTCCCCCCCTCTAAAATCAATTCTCTCCTGGAGAACGTCTTCATGAGCCTCTCATGATTTCAGGGTAGTTGAAGCCCTCTTGATCATTCAGAAAGAGTGAATATGAAATTCTAATCACGAAAGGTGTTCCCCGAGGGATACATACCTAGAGTTTGTTTTGTGAAGCACGTCAATTCTCTCCTGGGGAGCGTCTTCGTGAGCCTCTTATCGTTTCAGGATAGTTCAAATCCTATGATGTTCCGATTCAATGCTCACCGATGATCTGAGCCATGGGGCAAATTTGTTTTCCTAAGAATCTTTTTGAACATCTAGAGTGCATATGAACATATATTTACGAAAGGTCGTCTCCGAGGGGATAAATCACCATGTCGAACATTGCATTTTTGTTCCTGCCTCTCGCGTTCTGTTCTCTTCCCGCTGTCCTACCTTTCGTGTCTCCGGCCAATTTGGCCGCTTGGTCGGCCAGGGTGGTAGCGTAAACTATCACGGAAACACCATGCAAATCTAAGAGTGCCAAGTTTCACACAGGCAGGTAGCCTTCCTTCGATTGATGTTGTGCAATGTTGGCTGTATCTGACATTTGGCAAAATTTTGGACACGCTGGAAACGGCAACCAAGTACGCAGAAATGGTATGTCAACCCTGGGAAGGATTACTGTCAAATTCGGCAGTTTTGCAAATTTGTTTTGTCCGCGTGCAGTATTCCATCAGAACCTACCCGGCGTACTGAAAAATATAAGCCAGCTGGGCAACCCAACGGCAGGTAGGAACTCATTTGACTGGATTTTTTCAATCACTCCAACTATAGATTGTTAAAGCTCCAATGCAACCCGAATCGTGTAAAGGGAAACGGGGAACAGGAACTAGGGAACAAAAACGGGAGGAAAACGACGCATCAGAACCAAAACGCGGTTCCCAGTGCAAAAACGTGTTGCTAGGTGCGTACCAGCACCCGCAAAGCTATGGGTCCAATCAAGCTGACTGGGAAGAAAAAACCGCAACAGGAACAGCAAACACACCACTAGCGCAACAGCGCGGAAACATGGTGCTGTGCAACTGCCTGCGCACAGAGCTATTTTTGTGCTGCAGCTGTTGCCATCGCAGCAACGCCCTGTTAGCAACATGCGGGCTTGTGGCACAGCGGTTCATAGAACATATGTATATAGCTTATGTTGCGTCCTTTCGCACCAAAGGTAGGAGGCACACCGCATGTGGAAAATGTGTTGCCGATGCAGAAACGTCCTTTATGCGTGCGCAACTACCTGTGGCCTTGCTAGCAGGCAACAGACAACATGTTTGGCATTGCCACGGGAGATTTCTTTGTAGCGGGGGAGAAGAAGGAACGGTTGCGTACACGAGGGGGCCTGCTAAGTGCAGGCGTGCGCGCCTGTGGCAAAAATGCGCATAGCACGCTACAAGTGCGAAACCGGTTGCTGGTGAGAAGTCTTAGTGCATGCCTGGGTCCGCAGGCCGTTGGCGCCGAGGGCCGCGTTGTGCCCCAGCAGTGGCTCGCACGCACAACCGCACCCAATGTCTCCCCCGGAGAGGCTTGGTGATGTGATGCCAGGCTCGTATCCGCAGCGGTGCACCGATTCCTGGAGCAGCCGACGCTGATGGCGTCGCCCTGCGCCTTGCCGCAGTTCGCCCAGCAGCGGTGGCACCGTCGCCCCTGCCCAGAGCGCGCTCTGCCCCACCCTCCTGCTCGGCAACGGCTGGCGCGCCGCCTTGCCCCACACGGCGCTCCCGCGACCCCTCCACTTGCGGAGGTGTTGGCGCTCTCGGGGCCTTCTGCCCAGAGCCGCCAGCCTGTGCGCGCGTGAGGGCGCGTCTTCCCTGCACGTAGTATACGTAGCGCTCGCGGGGAGTGCCACCTCAGCTGCATGCCAGAGGAAAAAACTCAATCTCGCACCACGGCGCGGGGCTGCTATACCCGCCGCGCCTCCCTCCTCACGTTCCCCGCGGCAAATGCGGCTAACGTCGGGGGCGACGCGCCTCCGGTGAGTGATCTTGCCTTCAGACTTCCAAAGCGCAAACTGGTGAAGGCAGCCAGTTCAAAGGCGGGACGCGCAAGCGCTGCCATAAAACATTGTGCTCGTAAAATGGGCCACATGAATGCCAGCCAGAGCGCTCCACCAAAAACTAGTTCATCAAATATACTGTTGTTTCTCTGCCCCGCCCGCCGGTGCAACGCATAATCCGGCTATCAAACCGTGTAACCAAACCCCACCACAAGTTCCAGACAGCAGCTGACAAACTGCGGTGTGGGTGCTGGCGCGGGTGCTGGTGCTGGCGCGTTTTTGGGGTGTGCTCAGTGTGCTCGTGCAGGTGTTGGTGCAGGTGCTGGCGCGGGTGCTGGTGTGGGTGCTGGCACGGGTGCTGGTGCTCGCTCGGCGTTTTCTTGGGGTGTCCTGGTGCTGGTGCGGGTGCGGGTGCGGGGGCTGCAGCTGCTGCTGCTGGTGTTGGTGCTGTTGTTGGTGCTGTTGCTGGCCCCTGGTGTGGCATGATGTTGTCCCTGGCATGATATATGGCATGATATGATTTGATATGATATGATATGATATGATATGCGGTTATCCAGGGGATGACATGATTTCATCCTTGGCACGGGGTGATGTTGCCCTGGCAGTACACCATGCATACCACAAGGCACCATGCATCGGGGTGGACATCGTCCCTGCCCTGACAGATGTCATCCCTGGCACGCAATGCCCTTAGTTTTTCTTCAACCACAATTGTTTTTGCTTATGCACTTGTTACATCCAGCGTTATATCTTGTTATTTGGGGTCTATGCCGGTATTTTTTTGAAAGAGGCTGTGATGAAATGATGAAACTCAGGTGAACATCCTCAGGTTGACATATATATTCTTGGTGGGGTGTGGCCAGGCTTCCATCCCGATGTGTTTTGTGGTTCCTGCGTGTCCAGAATTCGTTTTCCACTGGCCTTGATGCCGGTTTTGCGGAACTGTTTGGTACAGATGCCAAGGTTGCAATGCACCAACTAGAATGAATTAGTGATCCTCCAAATAGTTTCAGCAAACCACACGCACCAACAAAAACACATAGCAACCAAATTTGGCACAGTAGCAAACACAAGTGCCATGGCAAAGCCACGTCGCCATGTGTCCCGGGATTTTTTTGGATCAAATCACCGCACTGAAAACAATGCAGCGCATGCCATGCCATGCCACGCCATGCCATGCCATGCGCATTGAAAAATGATCGTCGGTTGGACAAAACTGGAGTGGGACGGCTTACACATTCCCTTGGGGCGTGTGTATTTCCCAACTGGCCCAAGGTCACCGCCAGGACATTGTAAAAGGACGGTTGTTCAGTGCTTCGCATTGCAAAACTGTGGGCGAGAGGCAAAAGGCAGGACAAAACTCCACATCACAACCCTTGTCGGATCTACAGCGTCCGGTCATTGTGTATCATGCCTGATTTCCAAGACGCTTGTCATGCCACACAACATGTATTTGTTTGGAGTGGCTGTGGCTATGAATATTCTTGACAGTTAGTTTCCTTCCTTGCGGCCACATGGCTCGATTGAAAAGAGCCCAGCAGCGAGGAACACTGGGCCCATGTCTCTGTCAGAGGTTTGCTGGGCGCCTTGGATCTAACAATGCAGCAGTACCTTTTAAACAATAGAATTGTATTGTCCGTGCTTAGCTGCATGGCGTGATGCTGTCTGCGCAAATATGGGCTTGTGGCATAAGGAAAGTCCAGAAGTCAAGGCACATTTGGTGGAACTGGCAGCGGCACGAAACAACTTAGCATTTGACGATACAGGTGCGCCGGCGTTGCTCATCCTTGCGTCGGAAAAGTGCAGACAGAAGTGTGCAGGTACCTCCGTGGACACCCGCAGCAACAAGGGACTAGAGCTGAGCCTGCGGTTGATGTTCAAGGTTCAATTTGCAGAGAAACATGTTCGGTCATCATCGGAAAAATTCATTTCTGAAGCCTTTATCTTCATCCCGTTGCCAAGGCTGCAGCGCGGCAGAACAGTTTTTGGGTGCTTTGGAAACCCTGGCGGCCTCACTGAAACTAGAGCCAGCGTCCCGAGCATATCGATGCTCAGCTGTGTAGGGAAAGTCGTTCACAAATTTATTGGGTTCTGGATTTGATTTCTTGAGGAAATGCATTCCAAGCGCATTTTGCAGAACTCCAACAAAGGGAATACAGCAACTTGACTGCCCAAATAAATATTTTTTTTCCTCAGGCAAGTGCCCTCCGTCCTGTTGCAAAGGTGTGGCTGTGTTGGAAGCCTGCTTAAGCTTGTCACGTAGTGGGGCTATATGGGCCAATGGGCAAAAATTTGACTTGAACCAGGATGCCGAGCCTTTGCTAAATTTGTTTAACGCACGAATTCAACATTGAATGATCATTTTGTGGAGCTGAGTTTCCTTGCATACTTTTGGCAGTTGAAGCACCATCTGAAGTTTCAAGGAAGCTGCATGTTTTGCTTTGCTTGATCAGTGGGAGGGGCTTTTGGCACAGCTCGATCATCTCCTACCTCCATCGCTAGAAATGGGTCTCCCCAGTGCTCAAGATGAACTTTGCAAACTTTTGGTCAGCCTTGATGCCAGATGGGCGGAGTTTGAGCACCTGTACATACTGGAGATAATGAGAGTTCAACACGAGGCCAAGGGCCTTGTTGCCAAAGCAATGGAGGTGGAAGAAATGCTGTCACAGTTGGAGGAGAAAATTGGGATTGACAAGGACCAAAGTGCTGAGTACGAGTTTCATGTTGGTGCTTTTGTCGGTTGCATTTCCCAGCTGAACGTCGCAGCCAACGTGAACCGAAAGACCTTTGACGAGCTGACTGCAGATGTTTGGGAGAATGCTGACGCCCTTCTAAAGATGTGCGCCATTGATCCAGACACACCCTTGCAGGCAGTACGAGTGATCGCCCAAGAGGTTCTGCAGTCCTTTGAGGAGCTGCGGCAATGTTTGCGAGTCATGCGCCAGGAAGACCCACAGCTGGATGACCTCAACCCGCAGCTTTGCCACAATGAGGACTTGGTGAAGACTTTAATGCGCTGGGAAGAGGCCTGGATATCAGGAGCTCGATATATCCAGACTCGGCCTGTCCTAGGCGCTCTGTGCAAGCTAGTGCCACGATTGTTGAGAGCCACGCAGATGTGCAGTGACTTTGCTTCGATGTGTGCGAACTTTGATGCAGAGTTGTTCTTGGTGCTGCCTCGAATTGTGTGGCTCACGTACTTCGAGAGCAACGAATCCCTCACACCGTTAATTTCAAATTTGTTGCCTCATAGATTTGTGCAAGTCCCTGTGTATGCAGAGCTGCGGCAGCGGGCCGGGGAAGCACAGTTGCAACGTCTCCGTCGCCAGCGGAGTGAGCCTGCCCTCGGTGAAGCCTTAGAACCTGAGTTGGCTGTATTGGGCACTGACGCCGCCCTTCGGTCAATTCAATCAAAGTTCAATGAAGTGAAACTGGTCCTGCAGGGAAGTACTGGGCATCGAAATAGGTCTGACAGTGAGCTTGTCTGGAATCTATTGCTTCAGTCTGCCGTAAGCAAGGGGAACTTCGATCATTTTGTGCCTCGTCTGTTGTTTTTTGTCCCCAGTGGGGAGGAAAAACATGTTTGTTCTACAATTTGTTCTCTGGACAATTTGCTTGAGGACATCATTCCGCCTCCAAAACGCAGCACGGTCATATCGGCGGTAGAGGACCTAATGCTTCAGCTTGAAAGTTGGAGCTTGGAGCTGCAACGACACTGCGCGGAGGACCCTGTAGTTCAATGCCAGTGTGCAAGCGACATGAGACTGCTGCCGCATTTGACGTGTTTAACCTGCTTCAACTGAAGGCATGCTTGAAGCGAAGCGAGATTGCTTTTCGCCACGGCCACGGTTTCTTGTTTGCGCCTCTTAGGAACTGTTTTGCCCACATGCTAGCCCACCTGCAAATTCGTTTGGATGTTTGGGTTTATCACCAGGATTGGAACGAGTGCACCAATGTCCTGGTGAAGTGCCTGTTGTGCGAGCAAGCGCTTGAGAGAATCTAGGTCTGGTTTTTCTAATTAGATCTGATTCGATGTACAGATTGCGCGAAACTGCCGGTCCTTCTTTCCATAGATCTTTAGAGCACACTCCAATAGCGAGAAGACGTGCCGTTATTTTCCTTATTACCCGACACAGCTGAACATGTGGATAGGTCTTGCAAATTCGGAGGGCGCCCAAGTCGTCCTTGGCATGCTGCTTTACATTGAAGGTTATGTCTGAAAAGATGGAGTTTCGTTGGCACGATTGACTTTATAGAAGGTGACCTGTGCAATACCAGTGCAATCAACGAGCAACTGGAGCACAACCTGGAGATGTTCAGAGGTTTTCGGCCCAATTTCCCATGATTCGGACAATGCATCACGTACGTTCAAGCACCGATTGCAACGCAACACAACACACAAACTAGGTCCCAAGGAACAAGGTGAGACCTAATTACTCCTGCCAAGACACTTGTTCACTTTGGCTAGGGGGCGTGCCATTCGGTGCCAATTGCCCGTCCGCAAGGGCGTGCCAAAACTGCAACCCTGACTTTCACATCCTTGAGGAATAGATTTGCCTTGAGGGCACCTCTCCTGGAGGCAAAATGCCACCAAAGAAGAAGAGACAGGAGAAGGTGGAAGAGCCATCTGAGGAGGAGCCAGCAAACTCTGACTCCGACAGTGAGCCAGAACCAGCCCCAAAGAAGGCAGGCAAGAGCCTCTTTGCGATGATGGCTGACTCGGATGAAGATGAAGAGGATGAGGAGGAGGAGGTGGAGGAGGAAAAGTCCTCGCCCTCGCCGAAGAAGTCAGAGAAATCTGATGGAAAGAAGAAGAAGGAGTTTAGTGAGGAGATGGCCATGTTTGGCGAGAAGAAGAAGAAAAAGAAAGACACCGGGGAGGAAAAAGACGAGAAGGATGGCAAAAAAGAAAAGAAGGACAAGAAAGATAAGAAGGAAAAGAAAAAACGTGGTCCGACAGTTTGTGAAATTGCTGAGGTGTCAGCGATTCCGAAGAAGGACAAACTAAAGCTATGCAAGGTTTTGATCGCTCCTGGAATAGATCCAGTCGAGATCGTCACAAGTGCACCTAATGTGATAGCAGGGGCGAAGTTCATTGCTGCACCACCTGGCTATACAACTGCCAATGGAGTGGAGGTGAAGGTCTCTAAGGTGGGAGGAGTCGAGAGTGCAGGCATGTTCTGTGGGCCCAAAGAAATGGGATGGGACACGGATGTGTTGAATGGTGATCTTGCGGTGATGCTGGCTGAGACCGCTGAAGTAGGGGCTTCAGCGCCGTCCTATGAAGAAGCAGTGGCAGCCTTCCAGCAGAGAGAGAAAGAAGAACAGCAAAAACGGGAGGAGGAAGCAAAGGCATCAGCTGCAGCGAGTGCCAAGGAGGACAAGAAGGGTAAGAAGAAAAAAGGCCTCAATTCTCAATTTACTGCTGCTCATGTTTCAAGTTTCAACAGGCTGCCGTGCTTTGCAGGTGCTTTAGTCTTACGCGTGATGATGATGATGATGATGATGATGATGATGATGATGATGAGGATGAGGATGAGGATGAGGATGAGGATGGCGATGCGACGACGACGACGACGACTACTACTACCACCACTGCTACTACTACTCCTACTCCTCCTCCTCCTTGTCCTGCTGCTGCTGCTGCGACGACGACGACGACGACGACTAGTACTGCTGCTGCTGCTGCTGCTACTACTACTGCTGCTGCTCCTACTGCTGCTGCTACTTCCACTGCTACTCCGACACTTCTCCTACTCCTGCTACTATTTTTGTATTGTTATTCTTGTAAGGGAGCATGATACTGTTACAGTGGAGGAGGAATTGCCTAGGCTTTTGGTAAAGGTCCGGATGACATCGGAATAATGGGGCTGGGACACATCCAAAAATATGATGCCCTTCGGGATGAAGGTATTCTCATGACTGACAGCATGACTGACTGTATGATGGGACGATGGCATGACAGTATGGTGATGGTGGCCACGATGCTGATGGCAACCCGTTCTTGCAACTGCAAGCGCTTTTGTGACAGGGAAAGCTGAGAAGGACGATGAGGACTTGGACGCCATTCTCGCGGACTTCAAAGAAGATGCCCCAGAAAAGCCTCCAGAGACGGCAGCTGCGGAAACTCCGAAAGAGCCAAAAGAGGAGGAGCCAAAAGGCAAAAGCGCAAGTCAGAAGAAGAAGGACAAGAAGAAAGGCAATCAAAAGGAAGAACCCAACGCTGAAGACGAGTTTGAGGCAGCTCTTGAAGAGTTTAAGCCTGAAGAGCCAACTCCAGGTGTTGCTCCTGAGCCTGAAGACGCTGACAAGGCTGAAGATGAAGCCCTTGATGCGAAAACTCTTGCAAATCGAAAGAAGAAGGAGAAGAAGAAGGCAAAGCAGCAGGAGAAGACAGGAGGCGAAGGCATGTGGGCCACCTCTCCTGCAGATCAGCCTGAGCAAACAGAAAGCAAGGAACAGGCCAGCAGCAGCAAAGAAGCCGCTTCTAGCAAGGATGAAGCACTGAGCAAGGCTGCAAAGGGCAAGAAGGAGAGTGCAGTTGTGAAGGCTGCAAGGGAGCGCCAAGAACAAGAACGGAAGCTTGCAGAGGAGAGGAGAGCCTTTGAGGAAGCAGAACGTCTTCGAGTCGAGGAAGAGCAACGGCAGATTGAAGAGGAGGAGCGGAAGAAAGAGGAGGAGCGACAGCGGAAGCGAGATGCAAAGGCTGCCAAAATAGCGAAGCAGAAAGCGGAAGGCACTGGGCAAGATTTGATATTGAGTCTGGTGGCGGTGGTAGTGACCGACCGGTAGTGGGCGGCTGTTTTTTGTTCAAGAAGGCTGCAAGAGTCTAGGAGTCTAGGCTTGACCTTTTTTCGATTTACTAATGTATGTTGTCCGGGAGCTTCATCGCAGGCACTTATTTGACCAAGAAGCAGAAGATGCAAGCCCAGCGTGCTGCGCAGTTGCGAGAGCAGTTTGGCTACACCATGGAGAGGAATGAGGATGAGGATGCTGAAGCCGACGGGGAAAGGCCGCAGAGAAGGCCAATGGCAACAAAAAAGAAGAAGCCACCACGGCGACCTCAGGACACAGAAGACAAACCAGCTGAGGAGAAGCCGGAGGATGAACCAGTTCCCACACCTGAGGACGAAAAAGTTCCAGCGAAGGAAGAGCCACAGGTAGAAGAAGAGGATGAAGATGACGATTGGGAGAAGAAACTTGAGGAAGAGGCAGAAGAGTCCAAGCCCAAAGATGCAGTCGTTGCCGATGAAGAGGATGAGTCGGAAGATGAGAAGGGCAGTAGCGACAGTGACAGCGACAGCAGCTCCTCTTCGGACGTGGAACTGCGCTCTCCTGTCATTTGCATCATGGGGTCCCCAGCCTGACAGGTTGTCGCAATTTCTTCCCCCGGTAGTGTTTAGTATGTATGTGTCTTTTTGGGTGTTTGGTTGCACTCACCAGTTTCATGTCACTCGCGCCAGTTTGACACATAGACTCATGTGCTGCTTCCTGGGAAATTGACCCAGGCACGTTGACACAGGCAAGACCAAGCTCCTGGACAAGATTCGAAAAACTAATGTGCAAGAGGGTGAAGCTGGTGGCATCACCCAGCAAATTGGTGCCACCTTTTTCCCTGACATCGCCTTGCAAGAGCAGACCAAAAAGGTGGGCACGGATTTCGAGTTGGAGGCAGGCTGTAATCATCCAGTCAGTGTTGACAAATATTGAGACCATTGTTGAACATTCAGACCCTGCCAACAGACATTGCCAGCAAGTCGTTAGGTTCCTGGAGTCCTCATCATTGACACTCCTGGTCACGTGGCTTGTCGGCACCACGCATGCAAGAACTCATGTTTGTGAGTGAAAGTTACCGTCACTTGCTGGCACTGCCCTTGGCTTATTCTCGTGCTGGCAGCCACCCCCCCCAGGAATCTTTTAACAACTTGCGCATGCGGGGTTCATCGCTGGCCGACCTTGCGATCCTCGTGATCGACATTATGTGCCTCGTAGTGCATCCTTTTCATGCCTCCACTGCAGACATACGTTGAACCCGAGGAGCACCTGGCCTTGAACTCACGTGTTCCGGGGGATAGAGTAGCATGAACTGCCTTCTGGTGCACAATGTAGGACCTGCCTCAGTGGTGTTCAGATGTTGAAACGTGAGAAACAAACAGGGTTCAAAACGAAGTCCACACGTACAATTGCAAGAGTACTGCACGAGTGTACTGTTTGCTGTACACTGTATACATTGTCGGCTAGAATGCCTTGTGCAGAGTTTTACCAGCTCGACCCTGATGTGAGACTGGACAGTTGCGTCATGAGGCACGGATTGGAGCCACAAACTGCTCCTTGACGTACAGATTCAGCAATTGAAGTTTGAATCACTAGTTGATGGTTGAGGACTTTTTGTGATGTGTTGTTGTCTCGGATTGATGAGCTTCAAGCCCCCTGCAGAATAAGAGGTGGAGTCGTTGGAGCTCCTGAAGAAGAGGAAATGCCCCTTCATCATTGCTTTGAACAAGATAGACATTTTGTACGAGTGGAACTCGAAACCATACACCAGTATTCAAGAAGCTTTGGAGAGGCAAGAGCAATCTGTGCGTGATGAGTTTCAAACCCGATTCCAGAATGTGGTTCTTCAGCTCAACGAGCGCGGGCTCAACTGCAATTTGTAGCTTGGCTTAGAGACAAGAACACCATACTGGCATGAGCTGCTTAGAACGTGTCAGAGCTTGATGCATTTGCTTGCCGCAGATGCGTTGGGTCTCCAGACAAAGCAACATATGGCATTTTGTCAATTCTGAATGAGCACCATAAGAGTGGCGTCTGCAGGTACTGGGAGAATGACGACTTCAGGACGGCAGTGTCCATTGTGCCCACAAGCGCCCTCACTGGTGAAGGGGTGCCAGACCTGTTGTACATGATTCTGAAGCTGACTCAAGACTTAATGGCGGACAAGCTTGAAGTCCAGGAGGAGTTGGAATGTACGGTGATTGAAGTGAAGAACATTGAAGGCTTGGGCACAACTGTCGATGTCGTACTTCTCAATGGCACCCTTAGAGAAGGGGACCAAATTGTCCTGGCCGGCTTGGGTGGCCCGATCGTGACAACAATCCGTGCTCTTCTCACTCCACAGCCGATGAAGGAGATGCGAGTGAAGAGACTTTGCTTGATGTGTGTGAGTCCCAAGCCAGAACCTCTGAAGGGCATTCGCCTTGGACTTTCGATGTTTTGTTGGATCTTGCCAGTAAGTCTTCAATCGACTTGTTTTCACTCCTTTGGCGTCACAGAGATCCTGACCGCATTCTCCGCATTCTCCTTTTCTAAGGCTGTGATTGTGTTCCAACCCCAACCATCGCATTTCATGTTGGATTCACAAGATGAGAATGTTCCCGCTTTCTCACAAGATGACAAGAGAGCCATTGGTTCCAAAGATTTCTGCAGGGACCATGAAGACAATATTCAATCCACATCCCTAGCATTTCCGGCGCGTATATTTTGTAGAGGAAGGCAACCACACTGTAAATCGATGACAGAAAATAACTAGTTGGCATGTTTCGTTCCGCTTTTTGCTTACGTGCAATCAGTTGCCGCCACCAGAACATGGCTTGGATCCTTGCTGTTGCTGGACTGCTGAATCAGCACTGAAGCGAAACAAGAGATGCTGCTTACTGCTAGCACTGCGGCAGGTTTTCTGGACCACCTTGCTCAGACAACACAAAAGTTGCCGTCGGAGCACAGCCGAGGACACGAACAGCATGGTTGTGCAACCAACATAGAGCCAGAGGCTGAGGGTATCCAACGAGTTTTCATTCAACTTATAGGTAGAGCTTCAGTAAGAAGCCAGTTACAGATGAACTCAGTTGTGCACCAAAGATACATGGCTCCCAGGAGCCGTGGGAAGTCTTCCCAGTTGAAGAATTGGCTTGAGCCGGACTTCTAGACGCCTAGCCACTGCCATTCAGGCCCTCTTAGACATTGTGCACCCAAGTTGCTCCAAGTGTGGGCTAGTCCTTTTGCTACTTTTGGCTGCTGCGCTGCTACCCTTGTGAACCGGAATCTCCTGGCGTCGGCCTCCTTTGCTTGCTTAGCCGCTTAGCCTTGGCCCCTCGCACTCTCTGTAGGCTTCGGCAGTGGGGAATGGGGTTTGCACCAGCCCGTTTGGCTGGCCTGTGTCTTAAAGACCCCCTGGAAGAACGAAAATAGACCAATACCCATTGGTTGGGGCCCATTGGTTGGGGGTCTCCTTATCAAAAAATACCCGTCCCGCTTGACACTTGAACATGATTTGCAGTCAGGTGCTTTTCCCGCCCCCCCGGATGCCAGCACAATGAGTCCGTGTTTTTGAATGCTGCCGTGACTGACGTGCGAATCTCCTGAGCTTGGGACTGGCAGGGGCTAATCTCAGCAGCTCCGTTGCTGCAACTCCCGTCACTTCTCAGAGACTAAGGAACGAGTATGTGACGCACAAACAGATCAGTACATCCATGGGAATCAAGATTTCAGCACCTGGGCTGGAGGATGCAGTGGCTGGAACTGAGTTGCTCGAATCTCGGCTGCATTGGTCAAAGCGATGGTTGTGATATTTAGGTTGATGCATTTTGTCCAATGTCCTTCTTTTTGCCACTCACTCACAGATGATTTGTACTAGGTTGTTGGCCCAGATGATGACATTGAAGAGCTGAAAGAAGACGTCAGCGCAGGGTTCGATGCTTGTCTGCGATAGTTAGGAGAGGATTGCTGCAAAAGTTTTGGAGCGATACTCTTGCAACCGGGTCACTTGGATTGCAGGAGAGCATCTTGAATGACTTTGAGAAGGAACCCGCGGGTGTCTACGTGAAAGCCAGCACCTTGGGCTCCTTGGAGGCTTTGCTGTCTTTCTTGCAGGACATGAAGATTCCTGTGTTTGACGTGGGGATTGGCGAAGTTCACAAAAAGGATGTCAAGAAAGCTTGCATCATGAAGGAGAAGAAGCACCCCGAATATGCGCTCATTCTGGCATTTGACGTCAAGGTCAACCAGGAAGCACAGAAGCAGGCAGATACGGATGGTGTGACTATCTTCACTGCCGACATCATCTACCACTTGCAGGACAAGTTCACCAAATACATGGAGAAGTTTCGAGAATCACAGAAGACAGAAACTCGAAAAGTTGCCGTGTTTCCTGTTGTGCTGCAGATTGACAAGCAGCACATCTTCCGCAAGCAAGATCCTATCATTTTGGGATGTCAGGTTGTTGGTGGCCAACTTCGTGTTGGAACCCCGTTGTGCATACCAGACAAAGGCAACTTGGCCATAGGCCATGTGGCTGGCATTGAGAACAACAAGAAGTCAGTTCCCAAGGCACGTCGAGGTGACACCGTTTGTGTGAAGATTGAACAGACGACGGCCCAAAACCACATCATGTTTGGGCGGCACTTTGATCACACCAGCCAGCTCTACTCCCACATCAGTCGGCAGAGCATAGATACTTTGAAGGAACACTTCAAGGATGAGATGATCAAGGAAGATTGGGAGCTGATCATTGGAATGAAGAAAGTTTTCGAGATTCAATGACGTCACTGTCCCCATATGGCACCTTTGTTCTGAGCGCTGGGCCACTGTATAGAGATGCAATTCGGACAGACACTTAAGGATTGTCAAGGTTTAACACCGACAGACGCCAGTTTTCTCAAACTTTCCTGCTTTGTAACCAACTGACCATCTTTGTACACATAAAGAGGATTACAAAACCACTACATGGGGGATCTAAAACCTGCCCAAGATACTGGGTAGCCTTGATGGCTTGCGGCCACAAGCGGCCCCGAGGCCAAGGATTTCTTCACCAGGCTGTAAGACTTTCACTGTACAGCTGAAGCTGCAGGGTGAAAAGAGTGTTGATGATTGTTGGGGCACACGGACGCCAATGGCTTTTTGCGCAGCCACAGCCACAGCCATCTCATTTTCAGACTTGCATCATTGTTTTCGAAGCTTTTCTGTTCCTGGCGCCGCGCGCCCAGCAATTTGTCGCATTGGGGAGAACTCTAATCGGGGAGTTGTTTTAGCGGAATCTTCAATCAGTTCTTTGGCAAACCACCAAAGCCATGACTCTTGATCACCTACCACCTACTGTAAAAAAAGTGGTGATGCAAGGACCTGCAAGGCGGCACAACAGGCTTGTGGCGGGAGATTGTAGTTGAATTCGCCGAATACTATGGGCTTTAGCTGCCAAAAGCTGTGTATACAGTGTGCGTGAATGCGTGACAGAGTGCGTGATATAGTTGCATTTGTATGTTCATGTAAACTCTGTGACAATGTCCCCCGACACCCTCGAAAGTGCAAAAACTGTTGACTCACAGTTGACCGTGCTCTCAGAAGAGGTGGGGTTTGTGGGGCCTTGCAGGAACGTTGAAAACCGATTCGCAAACGTTAAGCACGCAAGGATCTTTGATGACGCCATGGCAAGGTAGTGAAGACTGTGACCAAGCTGGATGGCAACACGGGCCCTCTGCTTGCGTTGATCCCTTGTGGCATTTTTTGCGAATGGACTCATCAAAAGAAAATATCAAACGCCGAACGCCTCTATGGCTTGACAGGGTTGCTCCCAATAATTCTAGCTTGTTCAGCGGTATGTTTCCTTTGGTGTAGCTATGCTTTTCTTTTTGGTGACCCTAGTGGCCAGGCATACTATGGCAGCTCAGGAAGGCCAAGACATAAGAGCAACGGCCATCGTTCTGTGGCCATGGCTCGGCACAGAAGGAAGAGAGCTTTGGATGAGGAGTGCGGCTTCTTCAGTACTGGGCTCACTTTGCAAGAGCCGCACTCTTTGACCATTCGGGCTTGGTTAGCTTTTCAGATTCTAGCGCTTCTTTTGCAAGGTCACTTTTGGCAGGAGGTGCGAGGAAACATCAGCCTTTATGAGGAGACATTGAGGACCAACTGCGCGCCAGAACGGTCGAAGCACGGGGTGTGCATGGGGCCACTGTGGAACGTGTCAGCATGGGAAGAATTTGTGCTGCAGGGGAGATCCAGTTCATGGCATAGTGAGCTGAAGCCAAGGCCATACAGATTGGAATCTTTCTCCCGATATTTAGATTCAGTTGAAGCGATTGATGCGGAGATTGCACACTTGCAGCAGGAGACTGCTGCACGAATAAAGGAGCTTCGAGACAAACGTGCTGAACTCGAAGTCACTCAAGGGTTGATTCCGTTGGGAAATGGCACCGTCAGAGCTGGAAGTGGCATAAGCCGCAGCTTCAATTCAACCTATATTTTTCAGTTTGATACCCACTTTGCTCCAGTGATATTCTTGCTGTCAGTGGAGCCCATTCAACGACCCGGAGAAAGCACAAAAGTTTCAGGGGATGAAGATCATGAGAACGTCATCAATGAGAATGGACATTGGTCCTTGGAAGTGAAAAGATTGGAGCCACCGCCCGCGGGCGACCAACACTTTCAACGTGCTGGATCTGGATCCAAGGTCTTGACTATAGAGGATATGTCCCGAGAGGCCCTAAATTCAGTGCAGAAACAAGGATATGTTCGCTGGGAGGCCATCATTCGGAATTCTGCCTTTTCCTCGCGGATGTCTCGCGGGTCGCAGCGGTTTATGGTTTTTTGTGGAGGACTTTCAATCACCTCATTTGGGCCAAATACTTCCGTCAAGCTCGTGCTCTCTGACAGCAGCCTGGAGGGCCTTCAACAAACAGCACCAAGGGCATCATCATCGTGCTCTTGCATGGTGCAGAGATTTGTTGGGATGGCTTCTGCCTTTGGGTGCCTTAGCTACATGGGTCGCTTAATTGCAGTATGTCACAGCCTTTTGAGTTGTGGATTGCAGTAGGGGATCCTGGCAGGTTGTAGAAAGCTTTTCAGCCTTGCAGTTGCACACGTTGGCAACTTGTTTTTTGAGGCTGTGTATTCCACAAGTGTTGCTCAAACGGAGAAGACAGAGGACCTGGAGCTAAACTTTGAGGCGCAGGAGGCTGCTGAGTCGCGACCAAAACCTTCTTCACCATCACAAGTGTAGGGCCTTTACTACTGCCTAGAGGCATTTTAGTAGTCCCCATCCAGCATGCACAGAGGCTTTGATGCCATAGTGGCATGTTTGCCAACAGGAGGAGAAGGATGTTGAAAGAAATGGCCAGCGCGGCTACTTCCAAAGTGTCATTCTGATCAAGTTGCTTGTCATGGACATACCGCAGCAGGCCTTTCATGCAAGCGTCGACATATGCACACACTGTAACTCTGGTTGTGCCAACAGCTGTGAAAGAAAAGGCTCCCATTGACCCTCTGTCAACGATGCTTGGCAGATTTGCATCGTGCTCTACCTGCTGGGCTGGTACGAGGCTGATGGTTTGCGATGCCAGCTTTGCCTGTTCCATCCTCAACACTGTGAAGCTGAACATCCCTTCAGATTTGTCAATTCAGCATCTTGGTTGCAGCACCATGCTGAGCACTAACAGACAGTGTCTCTCCACCCAAACTTGAATTGAAAAAAGGTACTTTTCGATGCTGCCTTATGGATTTACAGTTTGCACTTCCGAGCCATTGGATACCACCCTAAGTGGCCAGCCTACAAACATGTTGTACCGTACAAGTCAGGAGGCCAATTTGGGCTACCCCTTCCAATGAGGCGGCTTTCCTTTGCACGTTATTGTCCTCTGCAGCCTGGTGGCAAAAGTCACTCTTGGTTGGCAAAACTTTGCAGTTGCTTTCTGTTGACCGAGGTCTCGAACCAAGTGGTCTTGGGGCCTAGCAAGACAAGCAAGAAGGGCACTGAAGCTGCAGAGGGCGAAGTGTGCACCATGTGGACCATACGGAGCCATGGTACAGAGATAGAACATGCACACCTTTCCTGGTGTGTTGGCTTTCTGATGCCGCGTTTGTGCAGCCAAGGATCGGATTAATTTGTGCTCCTTGCATTGCAGCTGGCACTGCTCTCTTTGTCTCCTCCTTTTTGTACAGTTTGTTTGAACGAGGCACTCTGTGCAGAGCTGGCACTTGCACCATTTTAGTTGAACTTCAAGCAACGGAATTTGAGCAGAACGGCCCATTTGCTGCCACATGAGGTTTCAATACTGCCCTTCAGCACGGGGGTGTGCTTAGCAACATCTTCTTTGCTGTCTTTGCCGACCCTTACCAGGATGTGCTTCTTTTTGCCATGCGTCGTCGGTTGGTTCTCTGTTCTAGTGCCTTGCTTGCATGTATTGCATGGCCCGTTCCAGCCAGTTGTGGTTGTTTGTAATTCTTTGTGCCCTGTCTCGCTAGGTCTGTTCGCTCTCTTGCTTGGTGGCGTGCGGAGGGACGATGTAACTATGTTGAAGTTTGCTTTGAGCCAAGAGGAGCCAAGAGGAAAGATATAGAACAGGAAAGACAACTCTTCTTTTTTCTTTTCTCTTCTTCTTCTTCTTCTCGCTCCTGACTCCTAAGCTGGGAAGCGCGAGCCAAGGTAAAGAGGAGATGAAGCTTCCCAAGCTCATGAAGCTTTTAAGCTTCTCAAGCCTGCACGTGCAAAAGGCCACAACCTGCAATCTGCTAATTCACCGGAACGGACATGATTAGGACGAACTTTCATTCACTTTGCACCTTGGTTCGCTCGGCCGGTGCCACTGCAGACCCAAGCCATAACATGTACAGCTGCCTAGTGGCCCTTTATAAGAACACAGATTAAGTCACAAGAACAACGCCAGACTCAAACTTTCCAGAAATTCCACATTCGGCAGCTGCGAGCGTTCTGGGATTCCTCCCTTTGGCCTGTTTTGCCCATGGGCTTCTCCCTCGGAGGTGAGCATGTCTCAAACTTCAACGCCAAAGCTTGAGCCGAGGCGAAGAATCCCTCTTCGTTGATGAGGAGTTTCGAGGTGATTCTGCCCTGGGTTCCTGTGATGTACAGGACAGGCTGGCAGTCATTCCTTTCGGTGACCTTGACTATGTAAGTTTCTCCCTGTAACAGCTATCAGGGTAGGGCAGCCAACATAAAGAAGGCAAAGAATCCAGTTCTTTTATATCAGGAGTGGCGGAAGCCGTTCAAATGGATAAGAGCAGGGAAGAAGCTTCACCCGATGCTTGGCTATGCCATGTTCAATTTCCTCCAGGGCCATTCTACTTGGCCAGCTTCGGACAGCCCGGATAATTGCACAAACTTGGGCAACAAAGAAGGTGAGAGCTGCGTTTGCCCAACACTTCTCAATTTGCATACTTAAGACTTAAGACTTAAGCTTATACAATTAGCTGGAAGGTCTTGTGATTTCGTCATGTCTTTGAACGTTTTCTTGGGCCTTGTTCCTTCACCCAGGAATGCGACCCTCTTCTCGGTGATACAGGCAACACGCAGACTCTGTTCCCATAGAGCAGATTCGGTCTCAGCTGGCAGGCAGACAATATCAAGCAAGGTGAGCTGGGTGATTGTTGGCTTTTGGCTGCGATCGCAGCCTTTTCCTCAGCAAGATGTTTGCACGAGCTTTTCTCACAAGCTTGCTACACAAACACAACTGTGGCTGGAGTTATTTACAAACATGAGGTCATGGCAGACTTTCCTGGACATATTATGAATCTATTCGATACTTGCTTGCAGATTGAAGGGTGCCGGTGCAATGAACAGAAGTCTATAATAGTCTACTGTAATTCGTTATAATATAGATATAGGTCCATAGGCTGTAGGTGTTGTGAACGGAGCCGGCAGAGGACTGGCTTCAGCGGGTGGGGGGATGTGTTCCGTGTGTTGATGGCTGCTGCATGGCCTGGCATGGACTGCTTGGTGAGGAAAATAAAGACATCCCTGACGATGGCAGAGTCTTGGCAACGCTTTAGCTGACGTGATTCTTGTTGTAAAAAGGCGCCATGTGAGGTAGCAATGGATGTAGCCAAGCTCATCGACGTTTCAGGAAATATGGAAGTTTAGTACTACCATGTACTACCCATGTGATATACTTCTCCCACTGAGTGGCTGTTAGGGTTAAAGAGATGGTGCGTTGACATTTGAAAGCACACCACGCACAAGGGGAACGGGGGCATTCTGATGATGTCTGGAATTCTTCAAAACAGTGGCTCACTTCAGTGAAGTATATATATATATAAACAGAACCAGCTGAAACAGGTGTGCTACAATTACGTCCATGGTCTTTTTTTGCCCCAGGACGGTTGGCTGATGTAACTCTGAGGATGTGTGGTGCGACTCTTTCACATCAGAGATGGGTGGCAGGCCTTGAGCTTAGCTTAAAAACCTTGTGCTGGTCCTAACATATAAACGCCGTGGACAGTGTTTTGTTGTCCACGCCACTTTCCTTAGTGTCTTAGCGAATTGCACGTATGATGTCCAAGGATGTGGTTATTGACACCTTGCTTCCCTGCGACAAATATGAAACTCCTTTGTTTGCTCAGCTCGAAGGGGACAGTGACTTGTAGGCAGTTTTAGCTGTGTTTCAGGTTTTGACCTGTCGGATAGGCTTGCCGCAAAAATCCGGAACTTTCGTGGCTCAGGTGGAAGTCTTTGGGTCGTGGCCTTCGAGTTGTTGGAGTCCAGCCTTCGTGGGCTTCGATGTTGCCGTGGCACACGGCTGTGGGCGCTGAGGCATTGCTGCTGGAGAAGGCGTTTGCGAAGCCAGGACCTCAGCACCTTGGAGGAGACACAAAAGTCGTCGAGACAACACCAACTACGTAACTACCGGCAAGGTTTGTCGGGAGCTATGAGGGGCTCATTGGTGGAAGTACCACTTGGGCGTGGCAGGCCGAGTTTGTGGAAGAAAGAACGCCGTGGAAGCAGGTGTTCGTAAAAAATCAAGAGGATTCAACAGACTGTGACAATCCTCAGTAGGGGTCGAGGCTTGTGCTTGGGTGCTTGGGGTTTTCGGAGTTTTTGAAGGTCCTCACAGGCCAACCTTGGATGGCAAGATGGACGCGAAAGGACGCAGCCTGGACCCGCGTTTTGTCTGAATTGTGCCGTGCTCGTTCGGTGAGCCCGACCTTGTCAGAGTGACCCTGCTGCGTATGCAATAAGGATGGGAGATGTGCGACATACAGGCAACTTGGCTGATGACATGCAAGCATTATGTTGGTGCATGTGATGTGTGTGTGTGTGTGTGGCTGACCTGAAGCATTTGCATGTTTCCCCGTGTGGCGCATTGAACACAACGATTCAGGACTGCTTCTCACGAGAGGAAGACAAGGGGAGGAAAGCAGCAGAACAGTGGCGCAAGCCTCTCAGGAACTCATGCAGAACAGTTGTGCAAGAGAATTTCTTCGGCCCAAATCGTTGAAGCGAACCTTCTCAGGCGTTGAGGGCATGCGAGGTGGAAGGTGGAAAGGACCAGCTGAAACCCAGAATGATGATGGAATGTTTGAGGTGCAGATCTCAAGCCTTCTTTTTGACTTCGAAACTGTTCATGCCTGGCTTGTTGGTATTCGCTAATGGTCCTGACATGTTCTTTTTACTCACTCGACCACTTCGACCCTGAGGATCATCCGGTAGGAGGGTCTTGATTTTATTCGACCAGGACGGACCGACGGACAGGTTATATAAGGGTCAACGATAGACCGGTCAAGCTCATTGAGAACTCCAAGGTTGCAGACCAGCTCCGTTCAAGTGATTGAAAGGAGATCGGTGGCATTTAGGTTGGCATTCTCTTCACTTCAAGGAGTACTGTAAGCTCTTTATCTCTTTCGAGAAATGCTATCAACTCCCCGAGATTGCCATTTCTCCCAACAATTCTACTAGTGATGGCCAACCTACTAGCGACGGCCTACGTGCTTCTGGAAATCGGAAATGGCCAAAGGCCAAAAGATGCCAATAGGCAGGGTGTCGCCGCCAAGCTTGCATGGCAAGCTCTCCTGTGCCACATCACTTCCCCGTCGGAGTCTGCCCAATGCACTCAGGTGGCAACGTCCCTTGGTACAGTAGGGGGATGGTTACGTACTCTTAGCATCTCTTACCTGAAGCAGCCTTGCATCCTTGCTCCTCGTTCCGGCTTAAACTGCTATTTGTGCCACGGGCGCAGTGTGTAAATTGTAAATGTCACGAAAGCGAGCTCAGAAGGAGCTCAGCGGAAGTTGTTGTTTACGAAATATGGTGAGGCTCAAAATTGAAAGGTTCAGTGAACTAATTTATTCTTTCAATTAAAGGGAGGGGTCAGCCGAGGGGGGGGCCACCCCCCCTCCCTTTTTTTGATTCTTTCAATAACCCCCCTCCCTCGCAAAGGAATTTATATTTCAATTGCAGATTGAAACGTCTAAGGAGGGGGGGCCCCCCCTGTAAAGTGAATTGAACCTTGTGAGAAAGCATACCAAATGCCTAGAAAAGACAATATGAAAGTCGAGGCTTTTTTAGTGTTCGGTTGACTCAGCCAACAACACTTTGCGCTCGTGGCACGAAAGCGTTGCGTTGCTGCCCTCCCTCCGCGTCCCCTTGATCCTTCCACACCCCTCGCTTTCGTCCCCAGTGTCCTCAAGTATGTTCCTCTAAACTCTATGCTGCTCTGTGTTTTCATGGGAGAGTCGCCGAGCCGGAGCCGTTGAGATTTGCACCTCGAAGCTTTGAGAAGATGTCTCTCTCTCGCTCTCTTTGGATTTGTCCTTGCGATGCAAGATTTGAGGCCTTAGCTTCCTACACTCAGGCAGGTTATGCATCAGACTCAGAGGCTAAACTCAGTAGCAGGCTGAGTGTATGTTTTTGGACCTAGGCCATCAGCTGCTCCATTGGGGAGGGCGGTAGTGAGGAGTCTGAACTTGCTACGAACGACATGGAAAACACTGTGATTGACTTTTTGAGTGCATGCCCAGGAGAAGCGGCCTGATGGTCTTCTTGCAAAGCATGCTTACTCAGTTCTTCAGGTAACACTGGCAGAGCATGGCCAGCTATTTTTGGAAAGGCCTGACCATTCGCAGCTCGATCGATTCCCCGCCAGGTCTTGTGTGCGTTTGGACAACGGTTGGTGGAGGCCTGGAACTCATTTTACTACTTTTGGACAGTCCTAATCTTGTGTGTGTGTGCAATGTTTCGAAGCTTTCAGGGTGAGTGGGGTGTGAACACATCACTATGATTAGGATCATGATGGATGGTGAGTATCTAGATTTTATAGTACGACTGGCCAGTTGAGTTGATCCGGCAATGCTGGGCTTGATGCCAACCTAGTACGATGTTCGAGTTCTCGCTAGAGCGCGCAGCAGCTGCGGAGTTGGCCTGTCTGACGTGGTTGTGTCGCAACACGTCGATGTCGATACCAAGATGCTAAGCAGCGAAGCCTCACACCAGCAGGAATGTGGTGCTGCAAGCCTGCAGCCAGTTGAGAGCAACTCAACTAAGGTGGCAGGTTCCGTGGCACAAGCTAATTCTGAAGCAAAAGCTATGTTTTCATGAAGCAGTGACATTCCAAACAAAGCGGACCCATCTTACAAGGAAGGAACATCCAGCAAAAAACCTAACAAACTCTGAAGGGGCTTGACGTCCCCTTCTTCAACCCAACATACTAGGTTCCCAGCTGCGAATCTTGGCGCATGGAGATGCAGCTAAGCCACCTTTTCAGTGAAAGACTCGGCCCAGGTGCGAAATCCCTGGGGAAAGGGTGGCGAGTGGAATGGACCTTGGTCGGACAACAGCCGAGAGTGGAAGGACCACCCACAGAAACCTGCCTGCAAGAGGAGCTTTTGGCCAGTTTACCTTCTGAAGCATGTAGTTGTGAGTTTCGGAGATCGAATCTCAAAACATGTCAGAGGTGTTATTTATTGTTATTTGCATCCATTTGTCAGATATCCTGATTTGTCAGTCTTGCGAGTCTTGCGAGCATATATATGCCAAGGATTACCGACGATCTACGAGTTGTGGAAGCAGATGCCCGGTCTTTAGTGTGCGACAGTGTCCAGAATTGGCAGACAGCTGGTGGTGAAGCATTTCAGGGTCAAGCTCAAATGCTGTCAGGATGGGCGCTTTTGGATGCCATGGGCCATGGGCCAAAGCCTTCACTTCAGAACCATCAGCTTTCATTTCCGCCTCTCAGGATGCCTTTGTGCATGTGTTTGGCGGGCACATTGTAGCCTGCTCCTGAGAGATTGCCCTTGCAGGCCCACCAGATTTGCATACCTGGCGCTAAGGTTTGTCCTGTGACGCTGCCTGTTCCAATGAACTCGCAGCTGCTTGATGCTGAATCGTCGAGGCCAGTCTGTTGGTAGGATGCCCGATGCCCAGAAGCGTTTTTTTCTCTTTTGTGAGGACCAGGTGAAGGTGGCTGACTAGTCGAGAAATGCAACAGAGGTGACAATATGCTGACACAAACTCTTGAGAGAGGAACTGAGGAGAGAAGAGGAAGGAGAGGATAAGCAACCTATCGTGATGTCAATGGAGCATGTGGGCACACCCTTGCATTTCTTGCATCACGGATCCTCATACAGATGGGTGTACAGACACGACCCAGAAATGGATGTGGTGTGTCAGTGCGTGGAAGCCTTGCCTCGATGCTCGTGCCAGAAGCGAACATCGATGAACAACATTCTATTAGGGCCTCTGACAGTATGGGTATTATGATGGGCCTAGGCGAAAGATTCAGGTACTGTACAAGTCATTTCATTGGATAATAAGGAAATAAATGAAAGCCAAGACCTCAAAAGGAAGGACGCATGAAAGAAACAAATTAACGCAAAAGAGCAGGCAAATGTGCAGAGAGACCCAATAAAGCTAGGGACAGAGAACGCATTAAGACACAAGAACCCCAAGCAAACAACACGCAAGCGAGTCGAGTCTCTGTACCCAAAATGCAGGGCCGTGAAGAAGGTGAAGTGTCCGCAATGCCGGCAGACCCTTGGCTTGACCATCAATGAAAAGAGAAAGAGAGAGAGAGAGAGAGAGGGAGAGAGGGAGAGAGGGAGAGGGAGACAGACAGACAGACAGACAGACAGACAGACAGACAGACAGCCAGACAGCCAGACAGCCAGACAGCCAGACAGCCAGACAG